CAAACAACTGTGCATATCTCTCTATCAGTGTTATAGAGGGCGAACAATTTCTGAGTTTGCCCTGCATACGCTTTATACAGGGTAAAACGGATTTATCTGGGTTTAGACCCCATTGGGAGTTGGGCATCTGAGTGCTAAAGACAAGCGCACTACTGCGAGCTGTTTTCAGGTAAACTCGCAGTTTTGCGACAAGTGATTCAGACCCTGGGTCTGTGTTGGAGCAGGCGGGAGTGTCTGGCTCAGCAAGACGGGGCTGGAGTCCTGCGCTGGCAGGGAAAACAGGAGCAGGGGTAGTCTTTGCACATCGGGTGGCAGCTCCCAAGGGGGTTCCTGTGACCCAACCCGTCACCCCCGCCCCCTCGGCAGGGAAGCCGAGCCCGGCCGGAGCGAGGCAACCGCGGAGGTCAGTGGGGGAAGGGACGCAGTTCAGACGGGGAGCATGACCGTGGGTCGCGGCAGCTTGGCCGGGCTCAGGGCCCCCAGGCCACGGCCAGGGCCCGAGGGACCCGAGTGCTGCAGACGCTGCCCGGCGTCCCTGCCGCGGGCACGACACCCCCAGGAGCCCGGCTCGGAGGCGTGGGGGCCACGGGGTCTCCCCAAGGGAAGGGGGGACCCCTGGGGGTCCGGCACGTTCCCAAGCTGGGGGTGTAGCACAGGGCCGGTGGCTCCCCCCCAACCTGCCCCCGCACTGATGGGGCCCAGACTCCCAGGCAGGGGCCGGGGGGGAGCTGGGGATCGTTCCAGGCTGGTGCCCACGGGGAATCCGAGCTAATCTGATCATCTGTCAGCACTGGAGCCAGGATTAACCTGACAGGCTGGGAACTGCAGGCAGCCACCCCCCCCCCAGCCCCACAGGGGAGCCAAGGGGGGCTCACGAGGAATCGGGGGTCCCAGATACTTGCGGGCTGGGGTCTGCACTCGGGACTTGGTGGTGGAGTTGAAGGGGATCTCGGACGGCTGGGGCTGCAGCAGGTTCGGGGGGCTGTCGAGGGGCTGGGTGGATTTGGGGGGCTGAGGGGGCCCCCAGTACCTGGTACTTGTTGGTGGAGTTGAAGGGAATCTCGGCCACTTTCTTGTTTCTCTCCCGCATCAGCTTGACGGAGCCGGACGACAGCTCGATGCATTTCAACAGAGCCGACTCCGAGGCGTCGCCAGCCACGTCCCGCTGCGGGCGGGGGGGTAGTTAGTAACGGGGTACCCAGACCCCCCCACATCCCCAGCTCTGCCCCGGCCCCCCGGGCAGCACCAGCCACGTCCCGCTGTGGGCGGGGGGGTAGTTAGTAACGGGGTACCCAGACCCCCCACATCCCCAGCTCTGCCCCGGGCATGAACCCCTCCTGTGCCCCCACCCCCTGCCACATCTGCCTTCACCCCAGGGAGGCACAATGGGGAACCTCCCAGCTCCGTAGCCCCCCCCCCCGTGTCTCACCTTGAGGATGGGCACGTTGTCCTGTCCCCCCTTGAAGACGGCGCGGTTGCAGAGCCCGGCGACGTGGGACAGGGCCAGCCAGGTGGCCGAGCTCTTGTCGAAGGCCGTTCCTGGGGGGGGAAGGGGCATTAGGAGCACCCAGGGGGGCACCCCCAGGACTCCCCAATGTGTGTGACTGCCCCATCCTGGCTGCACCCCAACTTAACCCCCCTTTAGAGGGTTAGGGTGCCTGGCTCTGCCCCCAACCCCTCCCCTCTCTGGGACCCCCCAACCCCCCAGCCCTCCCCACAGAGCCCCCCATCTCTTCCCCCTCGACGAACCGCCCCCAGCCCCCCAGCCCTCCCCACACAGCCCCCCATCTCTTCCCCCTCGAGAACCAACCCCAGCCCCCCAGCCCTCCCCATTCTGAGACCTCCCCCCAGTGTCCCTCTGCCCGAGACCTCCACAGCATCACCCTGCTCAGCCCCCACCCCAAGGAGACCCCGTCCTCATCTGGGCCTGTTCTCAGCTAGTCCCCCCGCCCTGCCCTCCCCCCCGCTCTGCCCCCCCGGCTCTGCTTCCCTGGTCTGCCCTGCTCTGCCCCCCAGTCCCCCTGGCTCTGCCCCTCAGTCCCCCCGCTCTGCCCCCCCGGTCCTCCCAGCTCTGCTCCCCGGTCCCCCCACGCCCCTCACCCGACTGGTCCTCGGTGGTGTCGGCCTCGTGGATCTGGTTGTCGAACCACATGTGGGCGACCGTCATGCGGTTCTGGGTCAGGGTCCCCGTCTTGTCGGAGCAGATGGTGGAGGTGGAGCCGAGCGTCTCCACCGCCTCCAGGTTCTTCACCAGGCAGTTCTTGCGCGCCATGCGCTTGGCCGTCAGCGTCAGGCAGACCTGGGCGGGGGGAGGGGGGTCAGAGAGGCCACAGGGGACCCCCCCATCCAGAGACCCTCCCGTCTAGAGACACCCCTCAGCACAGCGGTACCCCCAGCCCGGGGACCACAGACCCCCCAATCCAGAGATTCCCCCCAGGCCAGGGACCCTGAGCAAACCTCCCAAATCCCCCCCCCGGGACCCCGTCCCACAACCAGAGAAATCCCTCGGGGAGCCCCCCAGCGCCAGGGGCTCTGGGGCTCCCGGCAGCGCCCAGGGCAGGACGTACCGTGACGGTGGCCAGCAGCCCCTCGGGCACGTTGGCCACGATGATGCCGATGAGGAAGATGACGGCCTCCAGCCAGGAGTAGCCCAGGATGAGGGAGAGCACGAAGAAGGAGACGCCCAGGAACACGGCCACGCCGGTGATCAGCTGGATGAAATGCTCGATCTCCACGGCGATGGGCGTCTTGCCGACCTCCAGGCCCGAGGCCAGCGTGGCGATGCGGCCCATCACCGTGCGGTCACCCGTGGCGATGACCACCCCACGCGCCGTGCCTGTGGGGGCAGGGGTCAGCCAGCG